GCAACACAGCAGGCTTGTTGATCAACTGCCACTACCTACTGAATCTGAGTGCTGCCACACATTTCGTGTTCAGATTATTGGTTGAAGTGCATTGACATCAGCAGCAGTTTGTAGCCCCCTTTTCAATCTAGTGTACACCATCACCTACCATACAATCGCAAGCAGAAAAAAGCAGACTGAAGGTAAAATACTTCAGTCTATTACATCTGGTGATTCAGAAATGTATGTTCATTTGACAGAATATAGCTAGCTACACTTGTTTTTCATTCTTACAGGGGAAAGGGAGCAGAGGAGATGCAAAGAGAACAATTTTTATCACTGAATGCAACAAATTGGGGTTAGATGTGTGAAGAAAATATTATAGTGTGGCTTTTATGTTAATGTTGACAACCACGTTTCGAAAATGTCCCACTACCACCATGCTAGGGTGACTATAATTTGTAGTCTGTGAACTCTGTGCTGGGTTAAGCTGTTCAAAAACACCTGCTTGGCCTACTTTCTCTATACATTGCCTCTCGTTTGCACCATATCCACCCTGCCTCTGTAAACACCATGTTCAACAATAACTATAATCCCACTCAGTTTGCCTAGCAGGGTTCCTTTGCTCTTGACAGGGCCACTCAGTTATGTGCTCTGTGTGTGTGGCTAATGCAGTGTTTATTGAGACATGGTTTATCTTAGCTTGTCTCTCTATATACTGACAGGACAATGTTTGTTTCTCACAGTACTTTACTAGTGACTGTACTGGAGATCGCATAAGCCGAGAGTGCTGGGCAACACTTTTCCTGTTCAGATTTCACGTTCACAGCAGTTCCCATTCTAAGCAATGAAAAACGATTATTAAACAACTACTTTCCAATCATTATCGTTCAGGTATTGTCTTGTACTTTTGTACTGTAACTGTCAATTGTGTCCCGGGATGGCTTCATAAACTCCATCCTCTTTCTCCTCCCTGTCACCGGTAGGAGGTATTGCAGGGAGAGGTTGTGTAGAGACAGAAGGAATCTCATACATTCCCTCTTCATCAGTTGGAGCTGTTGGACCACTTGGAGACATGACTATCATCTCATGCTCTTCTCCTTGTTTTATTTCCCCATAGGATTCATTAGCGGAGGTCTTGATTGTATTGTCTTTTTTTCGCTGTTCTCCCTGTATGAGTAAATGGAAACAGTTGCCTTAGACAGTTTTTCACCTATTGTACAATGAAAAGCACCAGTAGTTATAACGTACAATTTGAATCCATTCTTGAGAGAGTATGCTGAGTGACGGCGCCTTAGGACAAACACAACGATAATGAGAAGGATAATGCTGGCTATTATAATAAGGGCAATGACTACCACCACTCCAATAATAAGAGTAGAAGATGTAGAACCTTGATCGCCACCAGAACCAACTGTAGTAAGAGTGGTAGAGGGTGTGAATATTACTACCGGAGGCCTGATGGAGCTAAAAAGGAAGTGTGTATAAGCTAGCAACGTACTTTCTGTATACATACCATGCAGTTTCTGGTGTGCTAAGGGTGAGATTTTTTAGAAAGTAAATATACTTACAGCTTACTCTATATAATGTACCAACTTTAGACTGTATCTCCATCTCAACGAAAAGAGGTGCAGAAAGCAGGTTTGCATAGTGCACACTTACACTATGTACTTATATTGACCCAGAATGTGTTCAAGAAGATTATGAGGTATATATGAGACAGTGTTTAGTTGAATTATTTAGAACCAGAGCCAGGATTAGTTCTAGGTGTAAAGCTAAAGTATAGGTAAAGATGAAGGTCACAATAAAAGGATTTTACCAGTGTCATTCAAGTTTTGCTCCACACTTTGGACCATCAGGTTAAATCGTGGACTTATTCCAGGATCACTGGCTACGATGTATTGAGATGATGAGTGGACAGTGACCTCACAGTAGTACTGGCCAGTATCAGCAATGGCCAGTGGACTGATAGTCAGTGTTGAGGTAAATGGAGATCTTGAACTAGAGGGAGTGGATATGGAGACTCTGTCACTGGAGATAGCTGGTGTCCACTGTACAGTAACATTCACATCAGTGTCTACTGAAGGAGGTAGGGTGGCAGCGCAGGTCATCGTCACAGCACTTCCTTCATAGAGTAAACCACTCGCATCTTGACTTAGGTTTACAGTTGGGGTGGGCACTGTATGGGGTTCGTATGCTACCATAATAATCTGACACATAATCATCCATTTCCCCTTACATTTGACAGTCAGGGTGATCAGGGGTGAAAATGAAGGCGTAGCATTTGTTGCACTAACTCGACAAGTGTACGGTCCAGCATGGGAGGTGTAAAGTAAAGAGAAGGAGATAATGGTGGTAGCAGTTGTAGCATTTCTAGTTGTCGTAGTAAAAACAGAGCTATCATCTTCTGGGACAGCTGAAAGAGTGGAATATCTCAGCCAGAGAGCAGATGGGGAAAGAACTGTAGCTCTCTCTGCTTCTGTTACAGTAACTCTGCAGGTAAGAGTTGGACCCAGCATTCCAGCCTCCATCACTCCGGAATACGATAAGTCTATGATCTCCACGTCCAGGGGGTCTAAGAGAAAATGCAGAGTGGGAGAAGCTCATACTAGTGAGGTTTAATGCTAAAGTGTGTGAACTAACTACTTGTTGGGCTCAATACAATGCAGTAGGCGAACCTAAAATTTTTAACCCCATTGCGTATCATTGCGTATGATGTTGACTTTAGATAAACATGAAAATCACTAAACTGCAAACCCTTGGCAAACTGCTTTTTCGCGGTACCATTATTGATGGGCAGATTTCTTGCACGTGGTGGTGGCAGAAAACGTGGTAACAGAGGAACAGACAGTGTGAGAGACTAGATGTCTCCACAGTCTCTCTGATTTCATGTTTGTGGGTTTTACATCATTTCCCTGTTTTGTATCACTCCTACCCTCCCTTCCTCTTTCTGGGTAAAGTGTATATAGTCTGTCACTTCCCACGTTCATCCTGTTATGTTTTGTATAAAAGAGCTAGGCTGTAGCTAGTGATCATCGGATGACTGGTGTGTGAACTATTATGAGATCTTGAGAAAGCTCTCCATGTCGATTGTCGCAGCGATGCGCGCAAAACCCTCTCGCTATCCTTCACAGACAGACAGACAGACAGATGAACGGACAGACAGACAGACAGATGAACGGACAGACAGACAGACGAATGGACGGATAGACAGACACACTTACGAACAAAGTACTGTAACCCTCGCTGCGTATGCGTGCCAAAGGTTAAGAGGTATATAGCTATATATTGGAAGCATACCATTATTGTCAATTATCCTGAATTCTGCAACTTGAGGATGAAGCTGAATCCTATATGTTAGATTTGGTGTCGTTGTGAGGGTCACATAGAGTGTCTCATCGCCTTCATTGATTGAATCGTCTACAATCTCAACATTGACACATCTGCGTGTCTCACAGGCTTCAAGTGATATATCAGTTTTGAAATCTCTGAAATCTGTTTGGCTGGCTATTAATCAACAAACCAATAAGTATCCGCGAATAGAAACAATGCAGAGGTTCCCTACCCGTACTCCTATTGGACACTGTGAGAATGATGGGAAGAGGAAACGGTATTGGACACTGTATGTGGGACTGAAGACAGCAACACAGAGCTCCACACTGCCAGCACTCTCTGAGACAGTAAAATACGTTAATTCTAGACCTACTTCAGCTCCTGCATAATTAAAAAAGGTGTAAATAATATAATTTGTGAAGTGTAAAAACTTACTGTCATTGTCTATAATAAGGATTGCAGCCAGGTCATATTCTGCCTTTACTAGTGTTATAATTGTTGTCAATCGATTATCTTCAATTCCAAGGGTGAGACCTGCATACTCATCCAACTCCACATGTTGGTCATCATAAATTGTCTGATTATAACACACTATCCTCCGTATTTCACTGATCAAGGTATCATCAATGGCATTGACAGCACTAGTCTGCTGGACATAGTCTGAGCCTTCGATCATGCCATACCGACTGAGAAAGTCAGGTATATCAGGGGCTGGGAGTGATAGTAATATTGCTATCGCACAGCTATATGCATTCTGATGGCTTACTTGCTAGTGGAGCACCAGCTGGGACGTAAACTGAACTGGAGTGATCAATGACAAACACATTGACAGTCTCATCAAGAATGTCAACTTGCGGTTGTGTGAGATTGACGCACACATTCACTGCACCCACACTCTCATCAACAGTGTATGTTGTCTTCACAAACGCCACAACAAATGGCTCTGCAGCAATTAATTTAAGCATTCACATGACTATTTAAACCGTAGACATTGGAAAAGGACTCACCATCATCATCTTCTATGCAGATAGTGTGTTCACAGAAATAATTGTCTGCACTTCGCTATCTTCATTGCATGTAAACAGCTCACGGCGACCAGGACATCAACAGGGAATATACGTATAGTATAACATTCTTTGTTTTCAGGAATAAAGTCATTTCTAATAGCTGTTAGCAGTGGAGGTTGCACTGTCAGCAATCCTGGTTCTAGGTTCCTGTGCTCCTCAATGGGGTCATCGGAGTTTTCTCTGAGACCAAAGGTGGCATCAAAGACTGGGCTAGATGGTATATGTGTCTCTATTGTGGCATTGGTGCTGGCTTCTTGAAGACGGAATTCCATTGGATGCTCCCTCTCAGCAGTCCTTGCACTGGCTACATTTATTTGGAGCGGGAATGAGTCCACCCCAGGTACTTCATCTTCTGCTACAGTCAGAATTCTCTCGGTGAATCCAATAATCATTGCTGCAAAAAATGAAAAGCGCTAAAGTGCAAACCCTCGGCGATCTGCGCATGCGCGGTACCGCTAATTGATGGCTGGGCTATACTCGCGGTGATCTCCCGCTAGTATATAGCTCGCGGAGAGTCTGACACGGGCTATCTACAGTAGTAGATAGCATGCGGGAGTAGATACACGCCCTTCGTTGTGACTTCTTGTGCCTTCAAGATACACAGAGCAAGTGGGCACGGTCGAGGTATAACATACCTACCAACCTGCAAATAAACCTTTGCTTGAGAAATGTTGCTTGATTTAGAGTATTTTTGCTTGAAAATGCTGCACAATGTATGGGCATAATGCATCACAGGTTAGCACAAAAAAGAGGGATTTGGTGATTTCTGGTGGGATAGGCAGTACTTTTGCTTGATTATCAAGCAAAAAGCTGGATGGTTGGTAGGTATGGTATAATATAAGCTTGTGCTAATTAGCGCATGCGCATTTTCCGCAGCGATAAAGATGGCCGACTACGCATTAGCCGTACAATGCTGGAACCGCTCTAGCTTTGCAACAGAGCGTTTTCGGATAAAGCCGCTCGAAAATTCTGACCTTCATTGCCCGTTAAGTAAGTCGTATCGTCGGTGAGACGAACGAACAGTGGAGAAGTGAGATTGAGAGTAACAGACACACAGACAGACACGCAGACCAACTACCGTACCTTCGCTGCGCATGCGCGCCGAGGGTAATAAAAAGCACTGAAGTGCAAACTGCAAACCCTCGGCGAACTGCGCAAGCGCTGTACCGCTAACTAGTGGTCTGCCGCTAGTAGCTCGCGGATGTCTGACACGGGGTAGCTACGGTAGTAGATAGCATGCGGGAGTCGATACACGCCTTTCGCTGTGGCTTCTTTGCCTCCAAGGTACACTGAACAAGCGGAGTCGAGGTCAGCCAGCATCTAATAATAAGCATACGCATACGCACCGCTTATTGATGGGTTGGGCCACGCAAAGCAGTCCGCGACCGTGCCAGTTTGTCGCTCTCGAACGCAGTCGTTTCAGGAAAATCGCCCCTTTCTTTTTCAGGCTCGCGTAGTTCTGACGCCGCAGGTATCGCCTGGCCTGTAGTGCCAGAATAAGCGTCGACACATATTGAACCCGTTACTATCGCTCTTTTTCCGATTTCTTGCGCGTGGTGGCAGAAAACGTGGTAACAGAGAGACAGACGGACAGACAGACAGACACACTTACACTGTAAAACCCTCGCTGCGCATGCTCGCCCTGGGTAAAACAGCATACGACCCATAACTGAACAGCTCACGGTCATTGTCAGTAATTCTAATCTCAGTCGCTCCTCGTCGTCCATGACACCCGGTTTCCCCAACATTCCGCTGGAAACAGCTGATACTCTCAGGAACATCAGGTCCTATCTCAGCAACTACTGCAAAGCTTTGCTCATCTTCATCAATATCATCATCAACAATTGTTAAGAACTGTGGTACTCTGAAAGTTTGAGAATTGGCGGGAACTTCAACTGTGATTGGCTGATTACTGAAATCAGAAACTGATGATATCGGGCAAGGGAAGAGAGAGAACAAGGATCATAGTTTCTCAAATCTTAATAGGAATATTTGGTGCATGCACGAACAATAAAGTACCAGGCCTGGGAACGAGCTTGAGGGTAAACAACAGGCATACCTACGTTTACAGAGAGACGCAATAGTTTTTGTAATATAACTTGTGTAAATACACGCAATTGGTGTGTTATTCAGGTTGATTTGGGACATTATCATTATGTGATATTTGTGGTAAAGTACCTGCTGTAGCTCTAGATCCCTGCGCAATGGTTTCAGAATTAATGAAAAATCCCAAACCCATAGACTCAGCTGTGTCCACAGTAACAGGACTAAGAGTTATATTAAAGGGGTTCTGATTTGTCCGGAACTGAAGTGTAATTTGTGTACACGAAATTCTCACACCCTCCTCAAAGGAATAGTCAGGTTGTAAGAAAAAAATCTCCAACACTACAAACAGACAATGTGCCAGATTAAACAGCACCCGATCATGGGAGAAGCACTTACAATCATTATCAATGATATTGACTGTTGCAGTGTCTCTGATATACTCTCCATTAGCCTCTAAACCAGGAATAAGACTAGGATTGTCAGGAGTGAACCTCAGTAGCACTCTGTCATCATACTCCAGAGTGATTTCATCATTGGAAGTGAACAGACGAATCTCTGCACTGTTTGTTACTCTGATTGGTTGCAGGTTTTCAAAGTCTGAGGTGCCTGCAGATATTAAACATGTGCAGGTAAAGCTAACTGCTACACATGAAGCTTACTTGCAGTGCCATCTGCTGCAGCTGTAATGAGACCAGGGACAACAAGAGCACCACCAAACTGTGTTGTTCCCTTTACATTGAGTTGAAACCTTGTGTCCAGTCTCTCGTCCTCTTCCACATCATACTCAGTATGAAGGAACCCATGCACTGTATGTTGCCAAGCCCTTGTGATGCCAGGACTAAGTCTATAGCTACCACTGACTTACCTACACAGAGAGTACAGGTGGTGCCATTATTGAAAGAAAGTCCATCATCTGTTCCCACACAACAGGCTCGTTGATCTGCTGCCTCTACCAGTCCTCCAGTACAGTCTGTGTTAGTGAAACACTGAGAAAAGCCTTGTCCAGTCAGTAGAAGGAGCAAAAACAAGTGGAGGACAGCCTCCATTTTCCACACACACACCCACAACTAAAGCATCTGCAAGAGATGTGTTGCTAATGAAATGTACTTATCAATGACCTCATCATTGTCCGATAATCATGCCTGGGCCTTAACCTAATATGGTTGTCCATGAGCTTGTTGACATATTATCATCATCCTACTGTGATTATGTTTATTAACCCTCGCCTGCGCGCATGCGCAGCGAGGGTAGTTGGTCGCTGTGTGTGTGTGTGTGTGTGTGTGTGTGTGCGTGACTGCGTGTGTGTCCGTCGGTCCACGTTGTTCTCGTACCCGCCGGGCACTCTGAGCGTATGAAAACGTGGACATATATCAGGGTAGGAGCAGCCAAGGGTAAACTAAGATTCTGGAGCGGAGAAGGCCGGGACGACGTGGTGCTGCCGTAGGTGAGTGTGCGCAAAGACAGAGTCGCGGCATGCATCGCTGTATATATCGGGCTACTAGATGCTAGCTGCCTCGCGTGTTGTGGAGGAGATTGCTGGTCTGCTGTATGATGTACGTTGAGTACGGAGCGAGATTGCCGTGAAGAGTGAGAGCCCAGGGAGCAATCTGTTCAGTGAAGAGTCCTGAGTAGTTGTAGCCTATATAGTGGCATTGGCATGCTGCTAGCATGTAGGCTCTAATAAACAAAAAACCCTTATGCTATTGAAGCTTCCAGTGCGAGGGTATGCATGTTCAAGTGCTTTTCATTTTGGGAGGTAACCCGGCACTATATAGATTCCTCCGGGAAGCATCTCCATCCTGATTGGAGTTCCGAAGTGGCAAAGAATTAGAGACTTGAAGGCTCGGGGAACACACTCTGCTTGAGAGTTTTGTAATCGGCTGATTTCAACCTATAATTATTATTTTGACTATTATAGCTGTTAGCTGTGTTCTGATTGTATTTCGTACTATCCATGGGGTTTGCAGTGTCATTGGTGTCCAGAAATGTATATATTTTGCCATTCAGAAAGTTTACATCTGTCCAGTAGACTTCCATCAAATATTCAGCACAAAATTGCGGCGGAAATGTACCCCAGCCTCTGATCGGATGCAGATAAGCGCTAATAAATTTCCTCAGCGGTTTATGTGAAAAGTGCTCTTTAGTGATCTAATGGATGTACGAGTATACAGAACATACAGACAAGGTTTAGTGGATGTGAATAACAATTAAGGTTCATCAACTGTAATTTTAAGTCAGTGAGCATAACAAGTATATACACAATTCTATCCCAGTAGCTTGACGTAGTTGGAGTCACTGTCCAGGAGGTCAGTGAGGGTGTTGACTAGAGTGGCAAACCTTGGTCTCTCCTGAGGACTGGCCGACCAGCATGAGGTCACAACTGACCATCTGTGGAAGGCCACACACAATATGCACTGACTTGAAGTGAGGTTCATAGTGGGAAACAAGTTTAGGGTACTGACAGCGCTAAATATAACAAACTGTGCATGCAGAAACTCATGCAGGGAAGCGCCTTGTATATAGATCGGCTGGTAGAGAGCTCTGCCTTGAATGCAAAATTGTGGGTTCAAATCAAGTCCAGGGCAGGTCTGTTTTTCCTTGAGTTGATCTGGGTGTTGTTGTGTTGCTTTTTGCCTTGAAACCTCATTGACACATTAATAATCATACACATACATGTCATCAGAGCAGGAGATGTTGCTGGGTCGATCGAGTCTGTGTCCAGAGCGCAGCTCACTCAGTAGAGTGGTGACTGGGACCCCAGCATACGGCACTCCTCCACATGTGAACACCTCCCAACATGTCACTCCAAATGACCACTATGAAAAAAATGAGTATTGTGGTTCGTCACTTCCAAACCCATGTCCATTTGAGATCATGGCAGAAAATTTAGGGGGTGTGGTTACATATGTAAACATCCTTAATGCCAACTTACAACATCAGTGGTCTCATTAAAAATGTTTGTTTCAATGCTCTCTGGTGCCATCCACTTGATAGGGAGTTTCTCCTCATCCCCCTTAGTGCTCTTGGGGCGAAAATAGTTGTAGCTGTAGATGTCCTCAGTCAGTCCAAAGTCAGAGACTTTAATGACATCGTTCCAATCAATCCTGCAACAAAATCAGTCCAAAGAACACATTCTGTATTAATTGCCTATGCTTCTTGAAGCAAATCTATAAACAAATCGTTACCACAATAAAGAGGCATATAACAATCCTTTTAATGTCAGAGATGTGAAATTACATGCAGTTCCTTGCGGCCCAGGTCACGGTGAACAAACTTGAACTTTGCAAGGTAAGCCATCCCTTTGGATATCTGGTAGCACATTCCCAGACCTGTCTTTGTGGCTTCTTGTACCTACACGTAATAATATTATAGTAATTGAAAACTTGGTTTTCATTTGGTTCCAATTGTCTCCACCTTCTCATGGTCGATGTCTGTAAGGAAGAGAGTTTCCCTGTGCTCTCTAACATACCCCAGAACATTGCCCTTAGACATGAATGGCATAATGAGCAGGGGCGTCTCTCCTTCAAATGACAACCCAATGAGCGACATCACATTGGGGTGATTAAAATTGAGCATCAGCAAAACCTCTTTCAATAGTCGATCCTTGTCCTTCACTGCCAATAGAGCTATACACGAGAAGTGAGTAAACATCACACTCATATTTCATTGTACAGTATAATGCTAATACCTTTGCCGGTTTTTACGGCAACAACCTCATTCCCTCGAATGCTTTTCATGTATCCACAATACACTATCCCTGATTCTCCTACATTGGAAAGAGTTAAAAGACAAGCTCAAACTTAAAATTTTTCTATACCCATCTCACCTTGACCAACTACTCGGCCTAGCCGAAGTTGGCTCTTTGGGATAAGCATGTTCTTTGTTCTGAGCTCTTCCCGCAGTTGTTGAACTGGAGATTGGTCTGGGCGAAGATCAAAAGTAGCTACAAACAAGAACTTTGTTAGGAAACAATCATCCTCACTAGTATTAGTATGATGTAGAGGTAGAGTGCTTGCTTCAGTTGAAGTAAGGGACCTATAATTATTATAAAGTAAGAGTAAAAATAAAACAACACTTACACAACTCATCATCCGTGTCGGCACTTATGCGAATATAGCTACCTCACACACAATCACCAAAAAGCTGCTCGATTAAATAAATACACACTTAGTGCATTTTTGTTTCAGTCGATCAGAAAAATTGATAATGTGCACAAATTATACTCACAAAATATTTTCGGATTTCTTTAACTTTCGCAGTCTAAGTCTCACTACACAGCCGGCCACAGCAACAAGACATGACAGGGGAATAAAAACCGCTCCACAGATTATGGCTGCCAGGACACCAGCACTGAGCCCACAATCACTGCCTTCACAGTAATTATCATCGATTTTTACTGTTAGTAAATAAATTGTCCGATGAAAAATTGTTTTGTGATGGAGGCAAAGTAACTCACTACATGAGATGTTTCCTTCTGTCCAATTTCCACTAGCAAGACAGGTTCGTGAAGTGATGTTTTCGTGAAAATGGTAACCATTAATGCACTTGTAAGTGACAACGGAATTCTCAGTAGTTGTGTTCATTGATACTTCTCCATTCTGCAGCTCAGGAGGGTTACCACAGTCAACATCTGCTTCATTTGATACTGTAACAGGAAACAACACTGAAAAATACACATGTGATGAAAAACATTAGCTATAATCCTTTATGGTGATTGTTGAAGGTAAAACATTTCTCCTTTAAGAGTTTGGTACATTCAACCAAGACTCTAAAACTGTTATAGTTAATAGTTAGCTAACCTAAGCGTATATAATAAAGTGTAGTAATTTACTCACTACATAAGATAGTCTCATTCGTCCAATTTCCACTGGTAAGGCAAGTTCGAGATGTACTGTATCCAACTCCCTCTTGAAATTGATAACCACCAATGCAGTCATATGACACAAAGGTTTTATCCAAGTATGATATCCCTCCATTTTGCAATTCAGGAGGATCACCACATTCAGCATCTGAAAATAAGCAATAAGCTCAGAATTTCACGAGGTTTATTTGCGCACATGCAAATTACTGGCACTGGCAATAAGAATAATCTGTCCTGAGTATAATCTTCACGTGATCCACATACAAAATGCCTCAGAACTTGATAGGAATGCCTAGTTAAGCCTTCATTATACGCCAGCAGCAACTCACAGGCCCACCTCTATAGTTATACGTATGCCCAAAGATACTGTAGTTCTCCAAGCGAGAATTTGGCCATAATTATACCGATACGATAATTTGATTGTTTCTTTTCTGCCGGTGGTATCTACGGTAAATTGCAGATTTCTTCGCAATACGACAACTCACTGCACAATATGTTTTCTTTTGACCAATTTCCACTGGTAAGGCAAGTTCGCGAAGTACTATATTCAATGCCTTCTTGCAAGTAATAGCCATCAGCACACTCATAGGTGACAGTTGTAGTTGCGTTGAAAGAGATGTATGATATCAGTCCATTTTCAACCTCAGGTGGATCACCACAGTCCCCTGTGATTAGAGCATTCCACTTCATAAACATAACTGTAGGCATCATGCTTTAGTAGGACTGTGTAATATAATAGAATGAAAAGCACTAAAGTGCAAACCCTCGGCGAAGTAGCTCGCAGAGAGTCTGACACGGGCTAGCTACAGTAGTAGATAGCACGCGAGAGTCGATACACGCCATTCGTTGTGACTTCTTGTGCCTTCAAGATAGACAGAGCAAGCGGACCCGGTCGAGTAAGCCTGTGCTAAATATAAGCGCATGCGCATTTATCCGCCAGCGATAAAATGGCGACTACCGGCATTAGCCGTACAATGGTGGAAGCGCTCTAGCTCTGCAACGGAGCATTTTCAGAGTATTTTCTGACCTTCGTCGCCCGTTGGGTAGATGGTATCGTTTCTGGGACGAACAGACACTCGAGAGGTGAGATGTGAGAGTAACAGACACACACACACACAGACAAACCCAATGAAAAGCACTATAGTGCAAACCCTCGGCGAACTGGGGATGCGCGGTACCGCTAATTGATGGGCTGGGCTGCTATCAGTATGCGTTTACTCGTGGTCCTAGTAGCTCGCAGAGAGGCTAGCTACAGTAGTAGATAGTATGCGAGAGTCGATACACGCCCTTCGTTGTGACTTCTTGTGCCTTCAAGATACAGAGCAAGCGGACCCGGTCGAGGTAGCCTGTTGAAACTATAAGCGCATGCGCGTTTTCAGCAGCGATAAAAATGGCCGACTACGCATTAGCCGTACAATGGTGGAAGCGCTCTAGCTCTGCAACGGAGCATTTTCAGAGAAAGCCCCACATATTTTCTGACCTTCGTCGCCCGTTGGGTAGATGGTATCGTTTCTGGGACGAACAGACATTCGAGAGGTGAGATGCAGAGTAACAGACAAACACACACACACACACACAGACAAACCCAACTACAGTACCCTCGCTGCGCATGCGCGCCGAGGGTAACTACAGTAACTCTTGCTGCGCATGCGAGCCGAAGGTTAATGAACTAAAGATAAGTCGGCGAACTGCGCATGCGCGATACTGCTAATTGATGGGCTGGGCTATTTGTATGCGTATACCCCGCTACTAACTCGCGGAGAATCTGACACAGGCTAGCTACAGTGGTAGATAGCATGCGGGAGTCGATACATGCCATTCTTCGTGACTTCCTGAGCCCCCAAGGTACACAGAGCAAGCGGATCAGGTAGCCCAGTGCGATTATGCATATTGGGTTTTTCGCTTGTTTCATGGCATATCTCTCAAACGCAGTCGTTTCAGCAAAATGCCCCATATATTTTCAGGCTCGCGTAGTTCTGAAGCCTCTGGCATCGCTAATGGGCCGCCTTGTAGCCTGTAGTGCCAGAATAAGCGTCGACACACACACAGACAGACAGACAAACAGACAGACAGACAGACGGACAGACAGACAGACAGACAAACCAATTACCGTAACCCTCGCTGCGCATGCGCGCCGAGGGTTAACTACACTGCTTGAAAGTTACTATACAAAAACAGCAATTGTGTAAAACGTTGCATGGAGCTGTAGTAACATTTAGGTTATGTAAAATAATGTATACAGAGTTAAACCTTTAAACATAATTATATACCTGCCACGGTACTAAGACTGATTCTAGTATCAAGACCTTCAGTTCTCGCCACTTGGAATGTGAAATTCTCAACACTAACGTGCAATTGTACACACACTCTTCTTTCACAAACATCAAAGAAGAGCACTCTGGAATCTGCAAAATATACAGAAACATGAGAATGAGGAAAACTTGATAAATACCTGTACCTTCAGCCATCGAGAAGGAAAGATTAAAAGGAAAAGTAATGGGACACATTATGTCAGGATGAACTACAACAGCACAAAGTTCCACTAGTTCATTCCCCTCTGATAAATTGTAGGATGTTCTTTCGAGACCAACCACAGCCTCTTCAAAAGGAAACAAGAGTGATGGAAAAACACCAGTAGCACTACAGGTAAAACTTATTGTCATTGTCCACAATGAGTATGGAAGTTTGATCATATGTTGGCTCCACCTCTGTAAAAACTGTTGTAATTTCATTATCTCTGACTCTCAGTGTCAGGCCCATGTATTCATTTCGCTCCAAATTTAAATCGTCATAGATTGTCTGATTGGAGCAGAGGATTCTCATCTCTTCACTAATAACTAAATAGTCGTCACTGAGATTGACAAGGCTAGTCCGCTGAGCATAATCTGAGCCTGCTATCATTTGGTACTGACTTAGAAAATTAGGTGGATCCGGTCCTGCATAAAACCCAAATAATCAGGCACTTCAAATAAATGCTTCTACTCACTTGCCAAAGAAGCACCAGCAGGGATATAGATTGAACTGGGGTTATCAATGATAAACACATTGACAGTTTCGTTAAGAATGTCAATTTCTGGTCGAGTGAGATTGACACACACACTCACTGCACCCACACTTTCATCAACAGTGTATGTTGTCTCCACAAAGGCCACAACAAATGGCTCTGTTTCAAAAATCATTCAACCATTAATAGACAAGTAGCAAGTACAAATTGTAAAATCACTCACCATCATCATCTTCAATACAGATGGTGTGTTCACATAAATAATCGACTGCACCTATTCCAACTTCATTGCAGTCAGCAACCATGAAATCTTCATTGCATGTAAACAGCTCGCGGCGACCAGGAACATCAACAGGGAATATACTTATAGTGAAACATTCTCTGTCCTCAGGAACACACGTCATTTCTAATAACTATTTGCAGAGGTGGCACAGTCAGCAATCCTGGTGCTAGGTACCTGGTGTCATAAATGGGGCCATCAGGCCAGTCTCTGAGACCAAATGTGGCGTCAAACCCTGCGCTAGATGGTATAAGTGTCTCTACTGTGGCAGTGGCCCTGGATTCTTGAAGTCGGAATTCCATTCGATGCTCACTCTCAGAAGTCCTTAGACTAGCCACATTTATTTGGAGCTGAAAGACGTCCACCCCAGGTATATCACCTTCTGATACAGTCTGAATTCTCTCGGTGAATCCAATGATCATTGCTGCAAAAATAGCCACAATTATTATGCATGGCAAATACCATAAGTAAACAGCTCACGGTCATTGTCAGTAATTCTGATCTCAGTAGCTCCTCGTCGTCCATGACACTCTGCTACCCCAATTTGAGTCTGGAAACAGCTGATATTCTCAGGAACATCAGGTCCTATTTCAACAACAAATGCAAAACTTTGTTCATCCTCATCAATATCATCATCTACAATTGTGTAGAACTGTGTTACTTCAAAGGTTTGAGAATTGGCAGGAACTTCCATTGTGTGTGAGAGATCACTGAAATCAGCATCTGATAATATCAGGTGAGGAAAGAGAGAGACAAGAGAAATATCATAGAGTTTCAATCAGAGCGTCGGTAGACGCTCTATATTGGGATGACACGAGTGAAATCTCACGTGATCCGCGTACAAAACGCTCAAAACTCGGCGAGAATGACTCACCATGGCTTCAAAATCACTAGCAGTAGTCTACAGGCCAATACCTAGCTATACAATAATATCCCCCAAGACTTCCTACGTGCCCTCAGTTCCTCACGAGAGAAGTCGCTCTTACGCGATTTCGCGATTTTCGTCATGATCATCATCATAATTATTCTTCATTGGAGAGTCGGTAGACTCTCTATATAGGGATGACGCGAGGGTAAAATCTCACGTGATCCGCGTACAAAACGACTAAAAACTTGCTGAGAATCACTCCCTAGGCCTTTAAAACATACTAGCAATAGTCTACGGGCCCATATCTACCTATACATGTCCCCCCAAGACCGCATACGCACCTTCAGTCGTCCACGCGAGAATTCGCTGATACGCGATTTCACGATTTTGTGTCATCATCATCTTCTTCTTCTTCTTCTTCAGACCCGCTAGCTCCTTACCGGAAGCACTTGAAGCGTTGATTTTTTCACAGAACGTCTCCGAATTTGCCGGAGGTGTGCACGCATATCAAGCGATCGTTTGTTTCTTGCCGCAAGTCACTACGGCAGATCGTTGAGCTCTTCCTCAGTAGTCACTGAAAAACGCCATTTGCTGCTAACTCAGCATCTGTGAGCCGCATGCGCCGAGGAGGGCGTTTCCAATGCGGTGCGCGCGCGCATTTTGCCTCGTAAACCTGGTCCACGTACGAGACTAAGCCAGCCTGCTGAGAAAATGAAAAGCACTAAAGTGCAAACCCTCGGCGAACTCCGCATGCGCATTGGTGGGCTGGGCTATTTGTATGCGTTTACTCGTGGTCTCCCGCTAGTAGCTCGCAGAGAGTGTGACATGGGCTAGCTACAGTAGTAGATAGCATGCGGGAGTCGATACATGCCATTCGTTGTGACTTCCTGAGCCCCCAAACACAGAGCAAGCGGCCCGGTCGAGGTAAGCATATAACTGCATGCGCATTTTCCGAAGTGATAAAATGGCCATTAGCCGTACAATGGTGGAAGCGCTCTAGCTCTGCAACGGAGCATTTTCAGAGAAAACTGTTCGAAATTTCTGACCTTCATTGCTCGTTGCGCATGCGCGCCGAGGGTAGTATAATTATATGTGCAATGGAAGTAGGTGAAGTGCTTAGATCAATAATGTTTTCTCTTCTTCTCGTGTTGGTTGTATTGAGTTACAACGGTAAGCACTACCCCGACCGGACTCTGTTTTTTTTCATTGTGGAGGCCAACAATGAATGACGCTCTCCTTACACCGTAGCCCATTCACCTGCGCATGTGTATGGTGTGTCTGCTACAAGCAATGTATGTGCGAGTGCCTTCTTCTGTCCACCTGTGTACACAGGCATGCAATAATGAATACCTGATTATACAGGGTGGAACACCTTGAGCAGTATCAATTTGGTAAAACCAATTAACAACAAAGTAAGCAAAGGCCTGCATTTGGTTCTGGTCCAAAGAATTCCTGCTCTACAACAAACCTCTGCCAACAGTGGTGTAGTTACTATTGTTGCCTTGCATAGTGCATTGGCTCAGTGATAATTGAAGTGCAAACCCTCGGCGAACTGCGCATGCGCCATACCGCTAATTGATGGGCTGGGCTATCAGTATGCGTTTCTCCCGCTAGTAGTTCGCGGAGAGTCTGGCATGCGCTAGCTACAGTCGATATATGCCCCTCGTTGTGACTTCTTGTGCCTTCAAGATATATACACAGAGCGAGCGGACCCGGTCGAGGTCAGCCGCGCCGCGCAGAACGCGTATGCTAATTGATGGGTTGGGCCACGCAACTCGGTCCGCGACCGTCCAGTTTCTCGCTCTAAAACGCAGTCGGTTCAGGAAAATCGCCTTTTTGATTTTCAGGCTCGCGTAGTTCTGAGGCCGCTGGCATCCCTAATAGGCCGCCTCGTAGCCTATAGTGCCAGAATAAGCGTCGACAGACACACAGACAGACAAACTACCGTAACCCTCGCTGCGCATGCGCGGCGAGGGTTAATTAGAGCGTCGGTATCTATATAGGGATGACGTGGATGAAATCTCACGTGATCCGCATACAAAACGCCAAAAATATCGGTGAAAATGACTCTCTAGGCCTTCATAACACACTAGCAATAGTATACGGGCCCATATCTACCGATACAAGACCTCATACGCACCTTCATCATGGGTAAATATTCCAAAAAGCTGCCAAACACTGTGTAACTGCTTCCTACCGTCAGGACATTAGCCCAGTAAACTGTCGCCACATTGTTAACACGTGCTGCTGGTTACTTTTGTGACAGAAGAACTCCATAAGCAAAGTTTAATAACGAACAAAGATATAGGGATGGTGTCATGTATCTTTGTGCATCTTTGCTGTGTAATGAATGACCCCTTGTTTCTTCCTTTATGGTGCTTCAAGTCATCCCTATATCCCCCTTCATTTTGAATGATTTTTCCACTTGTAATCATAAGAATCAAGCTAATGTATAAACACTCAATGAGAGTATTTGGTGCATGCGCAAACAGTGTGTAGCCACCAGGCCTGGGAATGAGGCTAAGCAACAGGCATGCCAATATAACAGATTGACCAATATAATTATTATGAGTGTTGTTATGTAAAGGCACATGCGATTGAGGCTTTATTCAGTTTAAATAGGGGTGTATTGTTATGTGATATTGACCCATTCCATGCTTATTATTGTGGAAAAACCATTTCAAAGAAGGATATAGGGATGGCTTGAAGCACCAAAAAGGCAGAAACAAGGGGTCATCCCACAGCAAAGTTGCACAAAGCTACATGACACCATCCCCATATCTTTGTTCTATATTAAACTTTGCGTATAAACAATAAAACAAAGATATAGGGACGGTGTCATGTAGCTTTGTGCAACTTTGCTGTGGGATGACCCCTTGTTTCTGCCTTTTTGGTGCTTCAAGCCATCCCTATATCCTCCTTTCATTTTGAAGAAAAGATTTTTCCACTTGTTTCCACTATTTTAAACAGCTTATGACAACACTGCATTTATTGTTACAGTCACTCATGGGTATGTTGTAGATAGGCTACCATAGACAAACTGTAACTGTTGAAAGTAGTAGCTAATGGGGCTGCTGGTGCCTGAAGCAGGGGCTAGATAGCGTATTGTTTTCAACAAGGATGTAATTAGATTATTGCCAATGGTTGTGGTTTCATAGGCAGGCTTTGGTAATCAGGCTACAACCTGGGGGGACAAACAATGAAGGCCCATTTGAGCGCCAGTGCCTCGCAAGGCTCGAGTAACACCGCGCAGACTCTGCCAAGTTGCTCTTCGTGCAAATCAACAGCGAGCTAGCCAGTTGGAAATGTGCACATTTACTTACAGAAGGCATTGGAGGATGAGAGTTCCTCCGCAGGTCTGTCAACTCGCCTGGTAATAAGCGCGCACAGCGGATTGGACAACGCCCCGGCCTGCATGGCGCATGCGCGCGACTAACTGATGCAGCAAATGGCGTTGTTCAGTGTCGACCACCATGGAAGAGCTCATGATCTACCGTAGTGACTTGCGGCAAGAAAAAACGATCGCTTGATGTCCGTGCACACCTCCGTCGAAATTGGAGACCTCCAGTGAAAAAATCAGCGCTTGAACTTGTACTGGTAAGGAGAAGCACTGATTTTTTCACTGAAGGTCTCCAATTTTGCCGGAGGTGTGCACGGACATCAAGCGATCGTTTCTTTCTTGCCGCTAGTCACTACGGTAGATCATGGAGCTCTTCCATGGTCGACCTGAACAACGCCATTTGCTGCTTACTCAGCATGAGTGACCCGCGCGCATGCCGTTGTCCAATGTGCTTGCGAGCGTATTCTACCGGGCGAGTTGGCAGACCTGCAGAGGAACTGTCAGCCTCCAGTACCTTCTGTAAGTAAGTGTGCACATTTCCAACTGGCTAGCTTGCTGTTGATTTGCACGAAGAGCAATTTGCCAGAGTCT